CGCCGCTCCCGTGCCCGGCGCAGCTGGGCTCGGCTGGAAACGGCCCCCGCGGCCCCGGCGTTCCGCGCACACACCCGGCCGCACTGCGCTCTAACAAACTAACTAACTAACTAACAAACAAACAGACAAACAAATCCCTGGGAAAAGAGCTTCCACTCTCCCCGGCGCTCCCTGCCTTGGTCCAGCCCCCCCGAGGAGCTATTGCTGTGGTCGGGGCTGCCAGCGCTGACGCTGCCGGGAGCGCGGGGAGATGGAGCGGGTGAATGGGTCTTTTCTCCACATCAGTAAAAATACCCACGGTGGTGCCCCCGCCCGCCAAACGAAACAAAAACAAACAAACAAACCAAAACAAAACCATAAAAAACCCCAAGAAAACCGCAAATCTGTCAAAAACACCAAACCCAAACCAGCCGAACGAAACACGACAACAAACGCAAAGAAAATCAAAACTCAAAAGCAAAACAAAATCACAAACAAACCGAAAATATTCCAGAACACGCAGTTGGAAGAAATGTTGTCCTGGAAGTAGCTGGGGTTTGCTGTTTAAGCCTAACTACTGGGATGGCCATAAGAACCTGGAGAAATGCCTGCAATCGTGCATGGAGAACAGCAGTATCACAAGGATGCTATGCAGCCGTGAGCATCCTGCCAAGGGAAGGTGGAAACATAACCAAGGGGCAAAATCTGACCTCGTCATAGAAGAAGCTTTGGGACAAACTAGTGGTGGTAGCCCACCCTAGCTTTAGGTTGTAACTAGTATTCTCTATAGCTGTTTTTTACAAGATAACCCACACATTTGATCAAGGGAAGCCAGTATATGTAATGTTTTTGGATTTCAGTAAAGCTTTTGTCAAGAAAATCCACAAATGCCAGAGGTTTATGTCCAAAAGGAGACAGAGGAGTCCTGCAAGTTCATTTGAATAAAGGGAGAGAGTCCACTGGGGCATACACCTGTGGGGCTTTCTCTCGAGGTTTTAGAGGGCACAGCCTCATTTTATCCTAAACTCCCAGCTGCATGTTGCCCTCCTCCTTTCCCCACTGGCTGAGGTACTAGGAAGGTACCCAAGCTGCCTGCCACATACCCCCCTTGAATGTATTGTTTTACCCAAAATTTCCGAAGCTCAAGCTTCTGCAGACCCTCGTTTGTTTCAGGAGCCAAGCTCTCAGCAGCAAACCTGCTGCCCAAAGTCAGCAGAGACCTTAAGACCAATTTCAAACACGTTAACATCCACACCTTCACCCATCAAATTGTTTGTAAAGAAACTAGCATTCCTCTTATTATTTCTCCATTTGTCTCCCTAGTTATTATTAATCGACCCTTTTCAACAGCCTGGAACATTTAAAACACCCTCTCCTGACTTTTCCACCTCTGGTGCCTGCACCAGGTGTGGCAAGTAAATCCAGAGAATAAAGTAGACAATGACAGTTCATATTTGCCCATTAAACTCTAGAGGTCCTTGTCTGTGGCTACTGACAGCTGAGGTCTCCCATCCTGTTCTTCCAGCTGAGAAGGCCAAATCTCCAGGGCTTTAGGGACCTTGAACTGAGTATGATGGGTCCACCCGTGTCCAGCTGTCCTGACTGGTGTCTCTGCAGTCCTGGATGGATGTTAGAACAGTACAGTCCAAAGACAGCGTCTGTGCTAACTGGGCTTTGTGTTCAAGGAACCCCAGATGACCTCGAGTAACTCCAAATGACCCAAAGCAACCCCTGAGGTTCTGCACCCTCAGCTCTCAGGGAGGAGCAGCCTGCACCACCGCACAGCCAGCCCATCATAACCAGGCTGGCAGGGGCAGGGACATGGAACAGTCTCCCAGAGCTTCCCTCCCAACCTGGTCCTTCCATTCATCATCTTCTCAAGGAGCTGGCTCCTCAGCAGCAGGATCTGAGCAAG